AGTCTATGAAGAACCATGGAAACCACTTGGGACCTTTGCAAACCACATTTCCTTGAGAAACTCCAAACCCTTGTTGTAGGCCTTTGGTTTAGGAGGTGCATCTTGACTAGTCAATTCTTGAGTGTCTTGACTACTTGAAAAGCCTTGAAAGAATGCTTTGAGAAAAATGTGAGGGAAAATTTTGGGGTACAATAGGTGTATTTAAAGAGGAATCCTAACCTAATGTATTTGTATCTCTTTTCATAATTTGTAAATTAGGAGAAGTTTTAGAAATCTTAAGTTTTGAGAGTTTCTCGTGTAGCTTGTAAGTCACCCGTGTATCTTAGGATACCATGAGGTAGACAGATTGTTACTTAACTGTTAGTAAAGTTATTGTTCTCCACGAAGCCCGTAGGCAAGAGTGAGTATTGTTCTTGGTCAGAGCTTTTAACCAAGACTAAGTATTTTGTATTGGAAGAGTAATCTTATTATTGAGTTGTAATTGTTGTAATAACTAGGATTAGGACCGTTAGATATCAATATGGTGATTTAGGTTGTGGGATAGCGATTTCCCTGACTTAGGACAAATTGTAAGTTGAAGTAGCATTAGGCGAGAAGTTATAAACTTGGGACTAGTTTAGCTTTGAACTAATGTTGCTCTTAGTGAATTTCTTTATTGGCTTGGTAGCCCGCAAAGTAGGTCGTTGGACTAAAATGGGTTAACAACTTCATGTGTTATTTATCATTCATCAATTTAAATTTTTGTATCTATTGCATTTTGATATAATCTGTTCAGGATGTCGCAGCATATGATGTAACATATGTACTGACATCAGTCTGATATTGAGATATCAGTATGAACATATGTTGCCTCTACCAGAATTTCACATTGAAAACCCTTTTTAAACATTTCCTTCCGAGGTTCCCCTAACAAATTCTATTATCCAAGGACTTGATGACCTCAATATGATCTTCCAAACCTTCAGAAGCTCATACTCCAAATTTGACTGCTTTTTCCAAATTTTATTTGATGCTTCCAACTCTTTAGCCTCCCATAACCTTTTATTTCCTCTGATGGAATCAGAGTCTGACATTGATTCACAACAAATGGAACTACTTCCAAAAAATTAGATGGACTCAGAATCATCATGAGGAGATGAACTAAGTTGAGACCTCACCACTTGAGTATGCTATTTTAAAGGCCCGAGATTCACAAAGAAAGAAGGTTTAGAAGAAATTTCTCCAATATCACTAACATCTTGAGAAACATGGGCTAAAGGTCGATTGGCCTCCAAAGGATATTGGCCTTTGACCTCATCAGCCTCTGAAAAAGACTTGCCCATAAAACCATGTTCCTTTGAAAAAACAATTATTTGGCCTTGCTTTGAGATATATTCTTTAACTCCACACACCTACTTTCCTATTCTCTCTCTCTTGTCTTTTGTTTGCTTTTACAATTCCTATTAGGCCCCACCACTTTTTCCTCTGACTTTCCTTTTGAATCCCCAAACACATCATTAGTTGACCTGATGTGTTTTCCCATCCTGAAACATGTCGCCTTGTACTATCACATTTTCTGAAAACACAACCAAGAAAACATCTTTCCCCTAGTTTTTTGCATTGAATCTAGGATTTGATGAGCTAAGGTCTTCCTCTTCCCCCGAGAGTGGAAGAAAGACATTGTCTTTTTCCCTACCTAGGAATCTGAATAACACTTTGAATCAGAAACCTCCATTTTCTTCACCTTTGACACTGGCGTTGCTAACCTTTAAGGTCCAAAAGAGTCCTCTACAATCTTGATAGAATAAATACATCCATTAATCTTTACTTTGAGAGTTTCATTAATAACCATAGTGGACTTTGATCTTACTAAAGTTCTTGCCAAGTCCATTTTGCACTGGTTTATAGTATCATCATCACAACATGTAAGATTCCCAAAAGGTCTTGAGATAAATTCAAAGAACTTAAAATTCCATACATGACACAGAATACCATAGATTTTGAGCCACGAGACTCTTTCACTATCCACTTTCGACAGTTCCCATCTACGAATCTCTGAGAATCACTGGCTAAGCCACTCTGATCCAGATTCCTCCAAGTCTACGATCTCCCCTATTCTCTTTCTTTTAGTAAAGAAATATTTTCCCTTAAAGGTGTCACTTTAATTCCAAAGTAACCTTCAGCGTTGAAGATCTCCTAAATATTATAAAGCATTCTAGGATTCTCCAAAACACCCACATAAACTTTATCGAATCTACTCCATTTCTCCTTATCCTCCATGTTAAAGATCAAATAAGGAGCCGATTATTTCTCCAACAAGCTCCAATATGCCCTTTCTTCGAAAGATTGATTATAGTGAAATCTAGTTTTCAACACATTGGGTAGGATCTACCATCTTCTTTCTCCTTTCCTCTTTTAGACCCTACTCGAATAACATAAACATTACAAACTTCTTTGGTCTGCTTCTTAGTGCCTCTTGCGCCCTAATATTTGATTGATCACTCCTTTAATACTTGAATCTCAAGTGCTCAGACCTTTTGAACCTTAGAAGGTTAACAAATATCTTGTTATCTCCAATGAAGATGTTATCTAACTTTGTCGCTAAAAGTTTTTCATTTTTGACATTAAAGAACCGCACAAATCCATATTTTCTCCCGTGATATCCCTCTATGAAGGGATAACTGCCTCATCCATCTCTCCAAAGCCTTTGAATTCTTCGTACATGACTTTTGCATTGAGTTTGTCATGGAAAGAAATTAAGAAAAAAGATGTTGAATCATCTTGTTTCCTTCCCTTATTCTTACCATCTCTCCCACATTATCCCACCAACTTACTCTGCTACTTCTTTTCACCACTCTCCTCGATCCTTGGCCTTCTTGAGTAGTTCTGACGTGCATGGTAGCTTGAAGGTTGAATGATAATTGATGACTAAATTTTAGAGAGAAATTAGAGCCCCTTCTCTCATCTTTTTTGGGAGATGAGAACATTTTAGTGTGAATTCCCTAAACAATTGAATTCAATGTAAGATAAATATAAAATGGATAGAGTTGCAAATTGCAATTCCGGAAAATTGCTAGAATTGATTCATCAAAACTATTCATTAAATAAACATTTACATCTAACGGTTTAGAATATAGATGCACCGAATAGTCCACCTACCACGTTAATAAAAATCTAAGAAACATACTAACCTAATTAAGGAGTAGGCTTGTTGGAGTGGGCAAATTGAAAACTTGGTTTTGAAGTTTTTTTTCCTTTCGTTCCACAACAACTCTCCACATATTCCCTTTCCCTCTCACAACAACTCCTCTTCTGATTTCCACTAACTATGTTTCTATATCACTTTAACTTGAAAGCAATTGACATTTCCTTTCCATTAGTCTACACCTAACAAAGGGAAGTAACTATATATAATTGTATTAATTTTTATATTTGCTAACTCCAATATTATGGAATAAAATCACACATTAAATTCACCAATTACTAGGATTTGTGCTTGTGCAACTTTAGTCTCCGGTTTGTTTGGGATAGATACTAAGAACATTGATACATAGTGTAGGAATAAACACATTTGTGAAAGACACACCATATATGTATCTAAAATCTTAAATGATATGTGAGTGGATACTTTCACTTATATATGTTTAAGTCTCCACATTCTTATTAAATATATGACTACTTTTTCACTTACTCACATTTATTATATTAATCGAACACGATTTTCTTCTTAGATATTTTAAGTGAGAAAGTTGTTTATCCCATTTTTAATTAGTGAGTATAGATAGTAATCGGTATTGGCATGGCCTATGGGGCATGTCTAATGTAGAAATTAAAATAAACACTTTATCTATGTAAAAGAAAAACTACTAAGTCTTGCTTACATATGCACTTCGTCAGAGTCAAAATAGTTCAACTCAACCACATTTTAATATTTGACTTAGTTGTCTGCTAAAGTAAAAATATTGTACCTAGTAGTATTTTATTTTATAATAATATAAAATTAAATTTTAATAAATTAATTATCATTAAAGTGAATTGAATATTAATTTATTTAAACGTTAGATAAACTAACTCTCATACGACTAAAGTCTAGACACAGAGAGCCTCACTCACCCGACTTCACCAACCCCAAACCTATCACATCTGTGGGACCATGTCATTCAACTAATCTTTTGTAGATCATCTACATCCCACCGTCCAATCTCGTTTGTGTATTGTTCATGCTAGTGTGTCGATGAGTTACAAATGTTAGAAATATAGATAAACTATTTTAATTTAATATAATAATATCAGCTTGAGAGGACCACTTTGCTAGTAATAGTTTAATTAAGATTTAACGGATATACATTTGTCATCTAATACAAAATCAATAGTTTATTATATCATTAAGAAAAATTTAAAATAAATGTGTAATGTGGTGGATTATATAATTTGATTAATATTATAAAATTAATTTATATTATTAGTTAATCATCCATTTTCTCATTTAATTAATCATTTTTAAAATACAAAGACGATAATGTTAATTTTGCAAATAATTCATATAAGAAAAAAATTCATTTTTTTCTACCCAATCAAAAAAGCATGTTTCTATAAATACACAAAATCCCTACTAATTCTACTAAAAATAAAATAAAATAAAATAAAAATTCCTATTAATAAATGAAAAAATAAATACACAAAATTCCTACTAATTATTCTACCAAAAGAAGAAAAGAAAATTTCTAAGAAACGAAAAAACATATGTCAAAAAAGAAAAGAACAAATGACAAAAACACCACCTGTAGTCTGTGGCCCACACTCATTCCTCACCAACCACGGACCGCACGCCAACCGGTTCAACCAAACATCACACCAATTTTTCCTTAACCAAATCGGTTCGAACCGGTTTTTTCGTCCCTTATATAACCCATCTTCTTATCTCTTCTCAAACAGTCTCCAATCATCTCTTCAACACATAGCAGAAGCTGAAAAGGTTGAAGAAGAAGAAAAGGAAACAAAAACAGTACAAGAATATAACAATGGCAACCAACGAGGATCAAAAGCAAACTGAATCTGGAAGACACTCAGAGGTTGGTCACAAGAGTCTTCTCCAAAGTGATGCTCTTTACCAGGTACACCCAATTTCACTTTCATTGTTTAGAATGAATTAAAATTTAAGTTCTTAAAAAATTAATCATTTTTTAATGATGAACAGTATATTCTAGAGACCAGTGTTTTCCCAAGAGAACATGAAGCCATGAAAGAATTGAGAGAGATCACAGCAAAACACCCATGGTAAAGAAAAACTCGATATAATCTACCTTATTAAATTTGTTAATTTGTTTAGTTTCTATGTTTTTTATTAGTGATTCATTGAACCAAAAAAAAAAAAAAACAGGAACCTCATGACAACCTCTGCAGACGAAGGACAATTTTTGAGCATGCTCCTTAAACTCATCAATGCTAAGAACACCATGGAAATTGGTGTCTACACTGGCTACTCCCTTCTTGCCACTGCCCTTGCCATTCCTGAAGACGGAAAGGTAATAATCCTCTCTGGTGTCGAGAGATTAGTATATGCAGTTGCGCGCATAAAATATCTGAGATATATTAAAAATTAACTATTTAATATTTAATTTGTAACAGATTTTAGCTATGGATATTAACAAGGAGAATTACGAACTGGGTCTTCCTGTGATAAAAAAAGCTGGAGTTGATCACAAAATTGATTTCAGAGAAGGTCCCGCTCTACCAGTTCTTGATGAAATGGTTAAAGATGTAAGTTTGAAGAAATTAAAAATAAAAAAAACATAAATGGAAAAAATCAATCATTATTAAACTTTACTAATTTAATTTTTTGTGTTTGTATAAATTTTAGGAAAAGAATCATGGGAGTTACGATTTCATTTTTGTGGATGCGGATAAGGACAATTACATCAACTACCATAAGAGGTTGATTGATCTTGTGAAAGTGGGAGGTGTGATCGGCTACGACAACACCCTATGGAATGGATCTGTGGTCGCACCTCCTGATGCTCCTCTCAGAAAGTATGTTAGGTACTACAGGGATTTTGTTTTGGAGCTTAACAAGGCTTTGGCTGTGGACCCTAGGATTGAAATCTGTATGCTTCCGGTTGGTGATGGAATCACTATCTGCCGTCGGATCAAGTGATTGATTTGCGTGTGCATATTATGTACCGCTCCACATGATTATGTCGGAGTTTATGCATCTATTTCAAAGTTATCAAGTTTTTTTTTTTTTTTTTTTTTTAATTTCAAAATATTTGTGTTTGTAATTTTCTCTTGCCATTGGCATTGAGATGGCGAATAATTGAAATTATATATATGTTTGGCCTTTTAGTACTACTTGATTCGTTTCCATAAACAAGTTTTATTTTTTTTGTAAATTTTGATATTGCGTCAAAATAGAGGCAAATGTGAGAAATACAACTTTAAAATTATAATTGTGATGATAATGTTTTGTAGTAGTTGCAACAAATTGATAACCTCTTTTGTGCCAACACATTTCTACCTTTTTTTTTCCTGCTGTCATGGTTGCTTTGCCTCCACTAAATCCCACCCACCAATATTCGATTTGGTCCATAAAGAGTACTCAACTACTCCCACAGAACTATTTATTTATGACATTTTAGATTCAGAGAACCTTAATGAAGGAGGAAATTTCTTGGATCCTTTCTATGCATTTTTAATTAATTATAACAGTTAATTATTGAATTTGGTGTTTATTATTCTTTCTCGGTCATTTAATGTCTCGTATAAATTTTTTGGATAGTTAGGAATTCAAGTGACTCTTTCTAAGACCAAATTTTTGGATAGTTAGAAATTCAAGTGACTCTTTCTAAGACCTTAGGACTCTCTTTAAATTTTTTATATCTTTAAATGTTAAGTCTAAGTCTAGGAGAATTTTTGCCATCATTTGAGATACGGTTATTTGGTCTATTTGATTAGTGTATAATAAGAAATATTTTTTTGGTAAGATAATAAACGTGGAAGTTAAAAGAGAAGAGTATTTTTTGACTTAGAGTTGATTTTGTAATTGGGTATTGTTCTGGACTGGGCCCGACAGGCCCAAAAGCGTTACTTAAGGCCCAATCCAAAAGGACTTACGGAGGTCCACGCCGAGCAAAGGAGTCACGTCCGTGCCCGACATCCTGATGTCCAGCTCGACATCCCGCTGTCTAACTCACGTGATGGTGTCCAGCTCCACCTCCTGTCGTCCAGCTCGACGTCCTGTCGTCCAGCTCGACATCCTAACGTCCAGCTCGACACCCCTGCTGTCCAGCTCGACGTTGTCTCGAGCATCCCAACTAGGGCAGACTCAGTCCAACGTTCCCCCAACGATACTCCGGAAAGACCGCGTCTTCGTCCGCCCGCACTTCACGCAGCACATCCAGGAAGGGGACCACGTGCGGGTCCCCACTACCCACGTAGAACCTGGCAGTTCCTCCATTGGGCCAAATCCGCCCGGCCCAATGAAGGAACCTTGGCCCAGCGCTGGGGGCTATAAATACCCTCTGTTTCCAGAGGGTCAGGTATTCATCATTCTAACCTCAACTCTATTATCTGCTCGTACTCCCACTGACTTTAGCATCGGAGTGCCTTGCAGGTACCCCCCCCCCCCCCCCTCCTCGTTCAAAAAGCTTTCTGCTCGGAGCCAGCCGTGACGGTCCAAACCTTCTGATCAGGTCAGATCAGTGGCGCCGTCTGTGGGAAAAAGCTTCCCCGTCTAACGAACAATTCCAAAGACCAAAGCTCAATTCAATTACCTGTCATGGTGTTGGCTCCTAAATTCGACACTCTTGTTTTATCAATGTCAACCATTAAAAGCTGAAAGATGTCTTCGACTGGCTAAGTCTGTCGAAAGGCCCGTCGAAAGATGGCAAAGTACTTAGAAGGTTTCTTCCAAGGAAGAAGGCTGGTTGCCTTCGACGTCGAAGGAGTTTCTCGTCGAAGATGTCTTTTGACGAAAGTGTTCGACGGTTCAGGGTGGAGCAGTTTGAAATTCAAGGCTTTTGGAGGGAAAACGGTTTCCAGCAGTTACTGCGTGCAAACGTGCAAGGATCTGGGGCGTCGAGCATGGAGAACGTGCCAAGTGGATTGATCTCGAAGCAGTGTAACTGCCCGACGGTTACTTGGGATGTTTTAGTATAAATAGGAGTAGACATGTAGTTTCTCGCGTGTGTTCACAATTCTATACAAAGTCACTCATATAGATTCGAGTACCCAGCGTGTGAGAAAGAATTGTTGAGAAATGTATGTGTGAAACACCAATTTTATCAATTAAAGTCATTTACTTTTCCAGAAATTTACTTGCTTTCTCCTTTACATTCTTGTCGAACCTTTTACTTTAAGCCTTGTTTATTTTACCAAGTTTTTCCTTCTTGCAATTTACTTGAAACCTTTTATTTAAAGCCTTATCCAACTTAATCAAACTTCAAAATCAACCTATGTCCTAGGATCAATCTGATCGATCCTGCGAGTAACCAAATAAGTAACCATTTGGAGGATCAGCGGTTGTTTACCAAAACCCAAGGTAAACAAATTGGCACGCCCAGTGGGACAGTGTGTTGATTGTTGAAAATAATCTCATCTTTTCGAGTTGTATGTTATTGAGAAGTGGTAGAATATACACTAACAATAACAATACTGCCAGAGGAAGGGAAGAGATGGCGAATCCGCCAAACACTAACGAAATCCCACAAACGAGTGTGGGAGCAACGGTTAATATGACCGTAAGTGAAGCGACAAATGTTGGTTCGACACCAGCAGTATCGGTCACAACCACGGGGCCAATACCTTCGTTAATAGGCCCCAGAATACCTTTGGGAACTCCCCCACCAAGGGGAAATTTAGGCACAAGGCCTTTGGTTCCCCCAGGATTTATTCCATTCTATGGTATGCCAACTTCTGAAGTGGCAAGCCTGACGAATGCTGCGTCCACTTTTTCAGACCCTTTTGTGAGTGCCTCTTCGCCACTCCAAGGCTCTGGAGTAGGCATGGCGAATAGAAATAGGACCCAACTCTTAGGAGGAACGTCCCAAGTAGCCCATGGCCTTACAAATGCCTCGACAGCAGTCTTGAGGCAACAAATGGACGAAAGCAACCATGATATGGTGCAGATGTTGGCACAAACTTTGAGTACAGTGCTAAACCCTCTAATACAAAACACTACTCAATCGAATCAGCAAGTTACAGCGCAAATGACGCGTTTGGCTGACTTCTTTGGAGTACCCCCACCTATTCGACAGCCCCAAAGGGCGCAAATAAGGGGAAATCAGGGGATATTTTTAGAGGAAGAAACCACCATTAACCAGGCTCAACAGCCTGTCGAAGAAAACCTTAGGGCACGATTGGAACAACCTGTCGAAGAACCTAGGGTAATAACCCCAGAGGTAAGGTTAGTTAATAGAAACCAAAATGCTGACGAAGTGGTTCAGCATATCCAATACCAAAACATGGGTTTGGAAAACAATCTGGCAACCATGATTGAAAGGATCATGACTCAGAATGGGATGAACATGGGCTTTCGAAGGCCCAAATTTACATCTCCATTGTCAGAATATGTGTTACAAACGGACTTACCTCCTAGATGCAAAGTCCCCAAATTTACCAAGTTCTCTGGGGACACGACAGAATCTACTGTCGAGCATGTGGCGAGATACTTGATCGAAGCAGGAGACATTTCGAATAACGAAAACCTAAGGATCAAGTACTTCCCAAGTTCTTTAACCAAGAATGCTTTTACTTGGTTTACAACTCTTCCCCCCAATTCGATCCATCATTGGACCCAGTTGGAAAGATTGTTCCATGAACAATTCTACATGGGGCAAACCAAGATAAGCCTGAAAGAACTGGCCAGTGTGAAGAGACGTTTCACTGAACCTATAGACGAATATCTGAATAGGTTTAGGTTGCTCAAGGCGAGATGTTTTACACAAGTGCCAGAACATGAGTTGGTCGAAATAGCCGCAGGCGGTTTAGATTATTCCATTAGGAAGAAGCTAGACACCCAATACCTAAGAGACATGGCCCAACTGGCCGATAGAGTTCGACAGGTCGAACGCCTCAAAGCTGAAAAAGCTAAGGCAACGAAAACTCACAAGAGAGAGAGAATAGCGTACGTTGAGATGGACGACGAAGATCTAGAATCCTTCGACGATACTTTAACTGTCGAAGAAGGAGAAGTCGATTTAGCAGAACTGAAACAAGGGCCACCATACTCTTGTAAACTGTTAGTCCCCTCAAATGGGAAAAATCCCATTGGTCCAGAAAGGACCAACGATAGGTTCCCAAAAAAGACTTATAGTTTTGACATCACAAAGTGTGATGAAATATTCGACTTGCTAGTTAAAGATGGCCAAATGATAGTACCCCCAGGGGTAAAAGTGCCTCCTCTTGATCAAAGAAAGAAGAGAGGTTTTTGCAAATATCATAATTTTTTGGGCCATAAAACTTCTCAATGTTTTCTTTTCAGGAATCTTGTGCAAGACGCTATTGAGGAAGGGAGATTAAAGTTTGCAGACAAATCCCCCATGGCTATCGACTCCAATCCACTGAAGGCTGAAGCCCACTATGCTGAACCCTCTGAGGTGAACATGATAGAGGCAACCAGGATCCAGTCGAAGAAGCCAGGAATTACCATGGTCGAAGTCTCAAAGGACCACATTAACATGCCAATCTTTGGCAGTTTTTCTGGAAATTTATCCAGGAAGACAATTGAAGCTGTCCAGAAAGCGGTCGAAAACCCGAAGTCGGAGGCCGCTGAAGCACAAAAAACTGGATCAAAAGTCAGTTCCCACTTGGCCACCGTTCAAGGCCAGACGGAGAATCTGGAGATACAAATGAAGCAGTTAACTCTTGCTAACAAAGATACAATGAATATCAACATGGTCGAACTTTCTGACCCAAAAGCATCGGAAGAGGCCATAAGGCAAGAGCAAGCTAATAAGACTGCTTTCCCTCGGGAAAACGAAAACTTGGCAGATTTTCTACAAAGATGCCAGAAAAAGAAATCAGAGGTGATGCTGTGTCCAAGATGCAGTTTGATCTTTGATAAAAAAGCTGCTGAGCACATTCAGGGCGTAAGAGCAGCGAATAAGAGAAGGGAGAATGCTGACCTTCGACATGATCCCAGAAGGGGTTCTAACCAAG